TACTGCTCTCTGGTGTTTTAAAAGAAGTCCCGTGGGAAGCTTGAAATGCAGAGTCATTCGAGACGTTAGTCTAACGGGCTGTGACGTTAAATGACTCCATCACGTAGGCGCTCTTTGGGCACGCGTTATGTAGACGATCCAAGAGCATTTAGGCGTTTGCGAGATGGCCTGGAATATGCTTTCTTCTTTTCATTTCATCGATCCGGTCATCGATTTCATTACAGTATTACTCTCATCGTGCGAATCCCAGTTTTTCCAGCACTCAATTCGTTCTTTCTTCTTCTTCTCGAGCGTCGTAGAATACTGGGCGAACGAGTCTCCTTGCAGTCTCGAGGATAACCTGGCTGTGGCGTTCCATAGGGCGCTGTCGTTGACTGCCGCAGAGAGTTGGGTGGGTGAGGAGTGGAGCTCGGCTCCACGCACATCGCAACGAGCATCACAACGACTCGACCATGGCGCCCTCAGAATATGTTTTAGCAACATATTCTTGAAAACTTTACTATTCCACTAGAGAAAAAATGATTAAATGTTTCAGATTGCTAAACGGACACTCATGATGTTCACCCATGAGATACCGCAAAACTGCTGGCTTCAATTCCTTACGGTTATATTTCGAAGTACTACCGAATGTAGTGGTTGCAGTAGTGAATGCCTCGTCGAATTCTATGTGTTAGTATACCTGCCACGCGGATTAATTTATTAGAAATAATAGCCAGAATAAATCGCTTAATAGAAAACAACCTAAAATAAACAATAATTACATATAATACATTCATATCCGCCAACAAATCCAATTGGCGGATCAAAAGGCATATTACATAACAGTCGATAAATCAATACATTGTAATAGCTCGACTAGTAGCTATTTCGTAACATGAGTAGTATGTCAGCGTGGGTCAAATACATGAGGACAAAGAGTGAGAATCAATTGTAGTCTGCTCAAAAGGTTTGCAAACGTCAATCAGGAGACGGGGGAACCAGGGAGGCTATCGTGGTCGCCTCGGAATGACGAAACCCCAGAGCAGTATGCCGGGTCGACGATGTGTGAGTAGCATAGTCGTCATAAGTCGTAAAGTCTCACACTGTATGTTCGAGATCGTCCTAAGAGCCCGCCACCCATCCCTAGGGGTGATTCGCCCACGATCCCCACCACTGGGCACGTCTCCGTGACCTGGGTTTGCAATCACAATGTCTAGTGCAACATCGGGCAATCAATCATGAAGCAAAAGGTGGTGAACAAAATTCCATCTTATGGGCAAAGTCAGCAATCAGCAATTGAACTGGGCCACATCGAGTCATAAACAATAGTCGTAGACGATCGATAAGCTAAAGGGGGAAGGAAACGAATACGAAGACGTAAGGTAACCCGGCGGCCGCACGGACCAGTTCAAGGCGCTCGACTCTCGTCGTCGTCGGCCCATGGCCTGCGTACATCCAATCCATGCTGCGCACCAGTCCTCCCGTAGCGCAACCGCCGCCACTCGCGTCCAAGTTTACCGTAACAATCGAACTCATTATGTTATCACTCATATAGAATGTTGCATGAGTTGCTATACCGAAAGCCAAAGAGCAAAAATATCTTAGTTCGTTATCTCTTCTCTCACTCCCTACATATAGAAAAGCCGTTTTTCAAAAATATGTACCGTACAGCAGACGGTGTATGTACTGGAAGGGAGGATAGGGTAGAATCTTTGAAACTGGCTCAGGATATAGGCATTGCCAATGGCTACGATACTGTAGCTTCTCGGTAGGAGTTGAGTGAGAATGATGCACCCCAAACGATGTTTAAAACGAAACAGGATACCATTAATTCTTCTTTTATTTCAAACGAGATAAGTACATCTGTGAAACGTCTTTTAAAAAGAGCTAACTTGATTTCGGCAACGATTATAGAGATACCACCAAATCATTTAAGAAACCAACTAGTTCGCAGCCGCTCATACGATCGTCTATATAAAACGAAAAGATGCATATCATGCTCGAACGGTGGAGACGGTGACTTCATCAGTACGGGTACAGTCTACTTAATCACTTGTAAAACGTGCGGCGGCGAATATATAGGCGGAATGGGAACATTCCTCTATGTTCGTATCAATTAACACCTAGATAATAGAGATGAAATGGATTCATCAACATCAATATGTACGCATAGGGTATAGATGCACAAGGAGATGAACTTTAAAATGGAAATATCCATCCTTTCACAAGAACGAAAAACTTCAGCGCGCAAAACCTCCAAGCTTTTTGGATTTCTACCAGAAACTCAAGCATGAATCGGTAAAACGTATCACAGTGATCTTTCGTGAAACTTATTACCTCGCACATGCAATACCGGTGCGGCGTTTACATATTGAAGTGGAGTAGTAAGCAACAAAATCGAAGTATTCGATGACACCTGACTACTATACGTTTTAACTTCTACGTTTTCGTTTAGGTTTCATCTTATTTGGTTGTGAAAATGTTCATCTATGTGGATTCACGTCATTTTGGCTCTTTCAGGCTCTGACAAAGGCGAAATTGCTGAAATGTCAGCCACTGATATGACCTCTATTGGTACTATTTTGTACAAAATAAGCGTGTTTGCTGAATGAAATAGCCTTGCAATTATTCAGTGAATGCCAGATTGATCGACAGTCAGTCGTGGAGTTCGATTTTTCTTTCGAATTTGTCATAACGTTTTGGTATTAATAGCACATTATAAGCTACTAGATGAATTAATCCAACCGTAGGGTTCTCCATGTGCGAAGGCTTCTGTGTTTGAAGGCTATCGGTCATTTATTCTCGCCTTTTGGAAGAAAATATTCACAATTCCATCTATTCATGCAAGATCAGCAGTGGAGGCAAAAAACAGTCATAGTAGTCTTTTCAACCAGTCTTTTGAAGGAATAAATATTCGATGTATACATGTGTCTTTAGCTGAATAGTTCTGCGTAGTTAACACTAGCGACGACAAAAAAGGTATTCTTTTCGGCCGATGATTTATGTGTTGCACAGAATACAGGACTTTCTGCAATAAACAATGACTGAATTCATGCAGATATTATTCCATCTGGTTTGATATTAAACTTGTCGACTAGGTGTTCTTCTATACGCACACAGAGTATACTCCGCCCACGCTTTGCAAGACGTTAAGCAAGCCGTAGCTCAACTCATTCAATCAGCGCCTCCATTTTCAAGCACATTATACCTCTTACGTTGTACATAAGCGGCACAAAAGCCGATACAAACTAGCTGAACCTCAGAGATTTTGGTGAAATGGTTTCAATAATTCTTACCGAATTCTCTAGGGCCGGTGCCCTTGTGTTATACGGGGACAAGTGAAGAAACGACCCCTTTCGCTGAACAAGATTTGTATGTAGTAGATCAATATTAATATATTTAGAATATAGTAGTCAATGATCACAAAGCTTAAATCCTTGGCTATCGCACTACGTAGTCGTTTTTTCAATGAACCCTTTCATAAGCTGTAACAAAAAGGTATCATTTCTTGTGCTGGTCGTGGATTCGACACAGCAATAATCGCTCGTGCTAGGGTGCCTTACATGTGGAGTGGAATCTTTGTTATCCAGTTTCAAATTGCTTTGAAAGAAATTCCAGTTGAAACGTATGACTCTGATATCACAAGTTCTCTTCCACACGTTCATGGGCCTTTCGTGCTTTCAAAAAACAAAGAAAAATGCGCGGCCGGTGTAAAACATGCAAACACATATACCTACCTGCCGTGATAAGTCACCTGTCGTCCCGTTGATTTAAGCTAGCACCAATGAGACTATCCTTTTCTCCCTATCAGGGAAAAGTAGCCCAGTGAATCCTCTTCGTTGTTAGCATTTATTGAGTATCATATCTTATCGTATCTTTATCCTGTGCTTTCCATTGAGAAATCGGAACACTGGGTCAGCGACCCTCTTATGGTGCGCTTGACATCCCGAGGAATCCACTTGATAACAGCTCCTGTCCACTGGTTGCCACTGAAACACATTAGATGTGCGATCCACCTTGTCTTCGATAGCCTGGGGTGTAAAACGGCATTTTTACTGTCGATCAATGGCATTGGTCATAACATTGGATTCGTTTTCTAATTTGCGAGGTGCGGAATACTTCAATCGTTAATGTTTCCACTGCGTGTTCACTAATACCAAGTGGTTCTGTGCACTGTATACGCTTTTTTTCTTCGTTAATTCATTTGACATGCGGTAGATAATAACAGACATAGAGCAGCAAAAAACATGGAACATCAGTTACATCACCTCACTATAGAAATCCAAAACAATCGTGGAACCCTAATTTCTCTTCAAAGTTAAAAAAAATCAAGTTGATTAGGAGGATAGAGTAACTCATGCAGTTGGTTTTGATTTACCTTGATATCTCAGTATATAATAAAATAATACGCTCAGCTGTTGAATTTTTCAGAGGCAGCGCTGAGGAAACTGGAGCAAACATGAAAGCAGTGTGAGTACTTTATGAATTAACTGATGTAATACTTTCAGTATCTTAGAACTCGATAATCCTTTGTGCCACACTGCAACTGTTTTCAGAGGCAGTAGCGAGAAAGTTGGATTGAAAATGGGTAGAGCGTGAGTGACCGATGGATATAATTGTGCACTGTTCTTATCTCTGTATGCAACGAAGCAAACTCTACAATGTGCTCTTTTTAGGGGCAGCGGAAACATACCTCGGTCAAAAATGAAATCAAGGTGAGAAGCCGATGATTTCATGATCCAGTCAGCATGAGCAATCATGTAGTGTATACACACTGTAATAGTGAATGTCAAGCTTCCGTTAACAATCATAGTGCGATGATATTAAGTCATATTCAGAACCCTATACCTCAGGCGACAGTTGAACCTAGGTTTCACTCATACCAAGGACGTGTGCTACCACTGCACCACTGCGGCTGCTGCTTTGCTATGACTTTTTATGAAGCATAAGGCATCGTATCTCATGGCTGATGGTGCGCTCTCGATGCCTCATATCGGAGTTAGAGTGATGGTAGAACAACGGTCTTTGTGGTGTAGTGGTAGCACACACTCTTGGTGTGGGTGAAATGAGGGGTCAACTCCCGACGAGGTCAAAAGCTTTGCTTAGCACTCGGCATCACTTGGAAGTGTAGTCAGAGGATGTAATGCTACAAAGCGGTGAAATGAGAATTTCTTGTATCAGTCGCTGTGTTTGATTAATTAACCCGTTGGCGCAGCATATATATATATATATATATATATATATATATATATATATATATATATATATATATATATATATATATATATATAGCATATATAGCTATATATGCAATGGTCAAGTGGCGCGGGGCGCACAAAGCAATGGAAATGGGAGATATCATGTCGGAGATCTGAATTTCAAAAAGAGAATATTACTATCTAGTATAAAAAACGCCCATGGGTCGAAAAGTCTTGTTGACAAAAAAAACCACATTTTTCCGAAAGCAAACATGTTAACAATTGTTGTATAACATTTTCAACACTTGTTCTATTTCCTAGTCCATGTTTCTGTAGTTGTTCGGTATCTTGGGGAATGCTAATTTCGATAGTGAGCCTGATTTGTGATAGAATTCGATACACTGCATGCTCTAGTAACGGAAAGAACATCATGCTTTGAGTTAGGAGCACTTAGTCCATTGTTGTTTTTGATATTACTATGGTTGGCAAAAAGTTCGTGGAAATCTTTCAAAGCTTCGTTAATATGCAAAAACCAATAACAAAAATAAAAACAACTATTTTTCAAGTAAAGACTATCTCTGTGAGCTCATGCGGATTCTGGCAAATTCTTCTTGCGGACAAAGTCTAATTGGTACAACTTGTTGACAGCGCTCCGCTGCGAAATACCACGCTTTTTAGCTGTATTACAAGTGATTGATAAAGGCTCAGCATCCAAAGTGGCCTACAAATATTTTTCATTTATAACAGATGGGCGGCCAAAAACAGGCATGTCTTTAAGATTGAAATTGCCACCTTTGAATTGCTCAAACAACCTGCCCAAAGTCGGTTTTGTCTCCGTAGTAACACCATAACCCTCATTTTGTCATCGGCGGCTTTAAGAATCGTTAAACCTTTCCCCAATGATGGCAGATCAACACACACAAATCATACTGTTCAATAGGCATTTTGGAGCTGAAATTAATGAACTAGATTAACATATACAAAACTCAGCACTTTCAATTGACTATTATGAGACCCCGGTTAGGAATTCATAATCTGGCGGAATTTTTTTAAACTTTAAGAGATCTGCCGTGGCACCTCTGGTGCCGGGAGTATTTTCGACTTCGTCGTTTAGAGAATTTTTTCAGATCATAATGAACTCTTGAACAAGGTCTCAAAACAGTCGAATGAGAGTGTTGAAATTTATGTACTGGCGTAATAGCCGTAAGCCAAGCAAACGACAATCGACAATCATTTACTCTGAAAGAACACTACGTTGGGCGATCTTTTCAACTTGCGCAGAGTATAAGATATACGGCTTTGATTTTCCGTAGTAGGCTGTAGTGATATGGGTTAGTAGACGAATGGCATGTGCTACGGCTTGCGATAAAGCCAAAAAGTACGCTTAGCTAGTTTAAAGCACAATGTATGAAATAATAAGAATATTTATGCCTAGACGACCGAAGAATTCTCTCCCGTAGTTCTGTAGAGGTCTCAATTCCTAAAGTCCACTGATAATTCAAAAATTACTAAGTTTCAATATACCCAGTGATGTAGAGTGATGTGTAAAGCTTTTACTTTGGATGAGCTCCAACCCATGTTTCATCCTATCCGGCGGCACGTGCTCGAACCGTTGTGCAAGTGGCGCCTGTTTTGACACTACTCTTTTTACACTACTACATCTAATTGCTCTTATGAATTTAACTGAAAGTAAAGTGCTGTTCTCTTGACATAGGAAGTTGACGATAATTATAAGTGAAATATGGACAAGTAAGAATAGGAAAGCACGAAATCGTTTAATAACTGTTGGAAATATAATGTTTTCGTGAGCATCTGATTTTTTTCCGAAGATGTGGTATTTTAGAAAAAAGATTGGCGTTACTTCCGAATCGTAACGATGGACAATATTCACACTTGAGTATACGCGGGTGAAACAAATCATTCTATGAGTTTTACCACAAGAGTAATGAACACCAAATTAATTATTCAAAAGTGATCAAAATTGCATGATTCAAATATCGTCCAAGTGCATATTTTCTTGTGAACATTTTGGTATACAACTTGCCTATACTTGCTTTAGGATGGAGCTGTCTTGGGAACAAAAATGCCTGCTAATCACACACTTATGGTGCGTAGGAGAAAATGTTAATAAAGCCGCGTTCATGATCAATGGAGCTTCCTGTGAACGGGCTGAGCGCAACTGATTCTCCAGACTATTCTCTCCAGCTCGGGACTTTGTGAACCACTACTTGACTGTCCATTCTGCAACCGTATTATCGTCCCAAACTCGACTAATCTTACGCGCCGCTTCTAGCATTTCTCCCTTGCGCCATTCATACGTAATTAGCAAGCGGTATTGTTTTGACGACGGCTCCATCCTTGAGCAATTATAAGCAAGTTGTATATCAAAATGCCCGCAAGAAAATGCGCACTCAAACGATCCCAAAATCGTGCAATTCTAATTCCCTCTGGTTATCAAATATGATGTTTATTGCTCTAGTACCAGGATTTAAGGAATTGCAACTATACAGCCACGGTAGAATGTATAGTTAGCTCAGAGCGAATGATGGTACCTAATCGAATGAAATTCTTTTTGTGTAACCGCTTTAGTGGTGGTATGATGTTTCCAAATATACCCATTGATGTAGATGATGTGCAAAACCTTTTCGTCAGGAATCTTTAATGGATACTGTATGTAATTTGCACAATTTTGAAATAATTTCAGTCGACAGTTGATTGTTAACAAGAAAGAAGATAACTTGGTAGGTTTCGCTGAAAACTTGACCGTCCTTTCCACTTTGAAGCAACGTAAGTCTTTGCTTACAAGAATAAATAACTACCCATAGCTTGGTGGGCTTAACCCACCTCGCCCCGCACAACACCATAGAATCGTGGACCACCTAGAAGTCCTTTTACTGCGTCAATTAAGTGGTAATTATTCTGGTTTGTAAATTTCCTCCTTTACTCTTTTCTTTTCTGAGAATCCATATCACGCGGAAGATATAAACTGATTTTGATGCACGCAGACTTCGCATTCCACTCGAACGCTCCTTTATCATATTTGGGATAAACCAAACACGGCGTTGCTGGCCATTGCATCGAATAATATCGATGTAGTAATCAGTAAACAATTTTGGAGCGTTGGACTGATTCCTCAAGATCTCTTTCCATTCTTCGATTGATAAATTAGGAAAAGTGCATAAAAAGCGCCTATGGAGCTCTAGTCAAATAATTTAAAAAAAAAGGGTTACATCAAAGAACCACAAGCATGAAAAGCAACACACGTCGTCTCGAAAGGGTTAGACGAAGTGGTATGGGTTTAAAGAGTAATTAGTAGCATATTTCTTTGAACCGAGTCATTACGACCTCCAATTTACCTACCACTAACTGAAAATGATGTTTACACCAAGACAACCTTCAATTAATGTTGCAGAGACGAAAAATTACCATTCTCTGGGAACCTCTACGTCTTCTCACAGTTTACACATGATTGCTAGTAGGATCAATTAACACTTTCTTCATCAAATATGCGTTTGAGGTACAACGTCCAAAGTGTAATAAAGGGAGAATTGCAAAAAAACATATTTATCTTTATCTTCATTTCGTAAGGTAAAAAATATTAGTAGAAGAAGTGAACTTTAATGGAAAAGTCATCCTCAAATGATATGTATTTATTTCTCAATGTTTTATAGGAAAACAAACCCTTCCATGCATCATTAAGAAAAACACAAGAGGCCGATGAAGACAAGGTTCGCCATTTGCGCTTAAGTATATGCGTATATATATCACTTATACGCAACAGCTCTTTTGGAAAGGGAGAAATTCGCAAGCTTGAATAGGAACCAGTACTATCAAAAATAATTCTAGTTATTCAAGTTATATTCCTTACAAGAGTAATCAGTTATGCTGAAATTTGAAAAGTTCTGCAACACATACTTTCACGCTACGATAGCTCTTCTTACATTATTTCACAATGTTTAACCCTTTAAATGACAGGCCCACGACACCAGCTCCACCTCACCGCGCGTGGCGAGTAATCCATATGCCGACTGGTTAGTGATGCCTGACATTAGGTAGAAGGTTGTTGGTTAGATCCCTTACCACTACGTTTCGTAGCACATTTCTTGTTGTAATTTATTTGGTGCTGATTACTATTGAGAGTTTTCATATGAAGTAATTATTATGACAAAATAAAACGCTCAGTTGTCTAACATTTCACCACTTCCTGATACAGAACGTAGGTTCATGGTGTAACAACTCATATCATATTCATAATCATATTCATTATATTCACCATGTTATTATCATCATTCATATCGCATTCATACCAAATTCTTATTCATATTCATTATAATTATCATATTCATGGCATATCCTTTTTGGCATTTCTTTCGACAATGCTGTAAAAGTCAAATTCGAAGGCATTTTCCTGACTGTACAAAATTTCAGAAGAAATTTGTACGAAGGTGGATGCAGTCAGTTTTGGGAAACCTGCGCTCTGGCTTCCGTGGTTACCATATGGGTCTTGTTTCCTATAAAGTAGTGAAGTGCTACACAACGGAGCGAAATTCTTCACTAATCATGTCTAAAGATGAATCCTCAATTGTTTCTGATTATAATGGAACAAATCAAAAACCGATCTCATTCGCTGGAGAAAAACTTTTCATATGAGTGTTAGTAACCGTTTGAGAGTTGAGAATTGAAGCTACAGTCCATGGCGACTGTTATCCAAAGCACTCTTCTATAACGATGTAGCATCTAAGGAAAAAGACAATGATTTCTACCCAGTGTCCACTTCCATTCTCACATGCTCGCTGGAAGCACGAAAAGCACGTCAGCGTGTAGAAAATTTTCCATAGTATCATAGTCATATGTCTTTATCTAAAGTTTTTGTCGATCCCTCCTCCCGATCCCA